CCTAAGAAATCTTGCTTCCCAGACTCAAATTGTGCATTTCTTTAAGAATATATATGATTATTAATGTATATCAAAAGCAGTAACCATTCATTACAGAAAAGGAAAAAAACATAAGAGAATAGTGAATGTCATCTATAATAATCGTATTGCAGATACATATTGACTCAATATTCTGGATTACCTAAAGAGGCACTATCCTATATCTATTTGCAACCTGAATTTTCACATAAAACATATTTCCCTGTGACATTTGGTACAGATACACAGCACAACTTCTGCTGACTATATTGGTCGTGGTGTTTTATTTAAATTACAAGCCAGCATTGATTACATTGTATCTAGTGTATCTTTCTATAAACAATACTTCTATGAACAAACTTGAGACCTCTTCGTGTATACCTGTGCCTGTTTTGTTGGAGGATATACTCAGGCATATGGTATTGCTTAGACAAAAACGTGCTGTTCCTTGACGTTCTAGATGCTCATCTCCGGTTGCCCTCTGTGATCACACAGCAGCTATGTTGGTTTGTTTTCTCTGTTCCCCATCAGATGCTTGTTTGCGGATGTCTGCATCTCACTTCCCAGCATCTCTACAAATGCTCTCTGTCATGGAGTCTTGTCACTTAAGTATTAAGTACTAACCATTGACCTGGCACATGGTGGCATGAACTGACAAAATTCCTGTCCTCAAGGATTTTAGTCCTTGTCCTTTCTCAGTTCCCCACACCTTCCTTACCAGTTTGGTAATAATTGTCCTAACTAGTCTCTCATAACATCCACCATGTCCTGCCCTATTATGTTGAGATTTTGTCCTGAGAGTCATCCCTGGACTCCCCCCTAAGTTAATCTCACACCTAACCCTTCTCACCTGCACCCCAGCAATGGCCGTCACCTGCCCGCCAGACTCCATTTCTCTAAACCATTATCCATTCTTTGACACACTTCTAGTCTCAAACCTCAAGGTGTAGCCACAAGAGACCTTTTAAAGTGTTTCCAGCCGCGTGACCGAGGCCAGGTATTCATCTGGCTACCTATGTCTCCCATCACTACACTTTACCATTAACTCAAACCTTCAGAACACCTTTTCCTGGGGCTTTTTCCCCAGCTCAGTTTGTACACAGGTTTAACATAAATACAGATTGATCTTCAGTCTAACGGGCAGCTCAAGGTGCCCCTCACAGGAGGTACAAAAATGTACTCGCGGGACGAAGACCTAAGCATAAGAGGAAAAGTATGAACTTCTCCGAAGACAACAGAGGAAAATGGCTTCGGTTGTGCCAATGATCTTGTGGCTGTGACAGTAAAAGCACAGCCAGAAAGAGAAATGCAGATGAAGTAGACTACACTAAATTTAAAACTTCTGCGCATCAAGAATCACAAACAATAAACTCGGCCAACCCATAGGATGAGAGAACATATTTGTAAATCACCTGTCCAGTAAGGAGTTAATAACTATAATGCATAAAGAAGCACCTCTCTCACACACAGTGAAATATTGACAAAAGACTCGAATGAACATTTTGCCAAATAAATGAAGAAATTCTAGGAGCGATGGTATTGGCATAACTCTAACCAGGCAAATGAAAGACTTGTATCATGAAAACTTCAAGACTCTGAAAAAAGATACTGACGAGGACACCAGTAGCTGGAAAGAGCTCCCATGCCAATGGATTGGCAGGGCTAATATTGCTATGATGGCTGTCATACCATACTCATCTACATTTTCAATGCAATCCACATCAAAATTCCGACACAATTCTTCACAGAAACTGTAAAAACAGTTTTCAACTTCATATGGAAACACCACCACCAACAACAAACTAACCAACCAACCAACCAATCAACCAAATGAACGGACAAAAAAAAACCCACCTAGGATAGTTAAAACAACCTGCAACAATAGAATAACTGCTGAAGATATCACTATCCCAGATTTCAGGTTCTATTATAGATCGCTAGTAATAAAAACAGCTTGGCATTGGCATAAGAGTAGACATGTCAGTCAACTGAATCAAATTGAAGGGCACCTAGTTTTTAACAAAGAAGCAAAAGAAGCAAATAAGTAAACATTGGAAAAATGCAGCATCTTCAACAAATGGCCAAATGGATGGTATATGCAGAAGAATGAAAGCAGCTCCATTCTATCACCTTGTGCACTCCGAATGGATTAAGGACCACAACATAAAACTAGATACTCCTAATCTGATAAATATGAAAGTGGGACATAGATTTAAACTCATTGGCACTACTCTTTCCGAATAATAGTACATCATTAGCACAGGCACTAAGACCAGCCATTAATAAATGGGACCCCATGGAGCTGAAAAACTTTTGTACATTAAAGGATTGTGTAATTTGGGTAAAGCATTGACCTATGCAATGGGAAAATATCATTACTAATTATACATCTGATAGAGAGTTTGAATCTAAAACATAAAACTGGACATCAAGAAAACAAATAACCCAATTTAAAAATGAGGTACAGAACTAAAGAGAGAGTTCTCAAAAGATAAAACATGAATGACTGAGAAACACTTAAAGAAGTGTTCAGCATTCTTAGCCATCAGAAATATACAAAATAACACTACTTGAGTTTTCAACTTACCCCAGTCAGAATGGTCACGATCAATAACCAAATGGCAGCATATACTGGCGAAGATGTGGCCAAAGCAGAACACTTACTCATTGCTAGTGGGAGTGAAGACTGGTACAGTGGCTGTGGAAATCAGTATGTCAGCTCCTCAGAAAACTGAGAATTGATCTACCTCAAGATCCAGCCGTACCACTCTTGGGCACCTAACTAAGGGACTCTACAGTCTACTACAGAGGTATTTGTTTATGTTCACTGCTGTTCTATTCTCAAGACCCAGAAATTGGAAACAGCCTTGGTGTCTATCAACTGATGAATGGATAATGAAAATGTCACACGTTTACACGATATACTATTGTTCATAGATCATGTCAGGGGAATGGATGGAGCTAGAGAAGGGGAAACTAGAACAGGAGGATCAAATAGGGAGGAGGATTGGAGAGAACAGAAAAGAAAGGAATATGGGGAGGAATAAGTAACACTAAAGGACATTTGAAAAACCATGTGAAAATCTCCAACTATAGAAGCTTCCTAAATATATACAACATAAAAGGAATCTAAGTAGAGTAGACCAAATATTAGGTGAGACAAAATGCCAAATAGACTTTTATGACACTCAATAAAACCTCCAATGCCAGGATTGAATATTATTGAGATGTATTGCCAAGACTGTTGGTAACTCTCCACAATCTAACGGTGAGGCCCTACTGCTAAAGAAAGCACATGTGTCACGGAACATGGAGAAGTCCAGCTGATGCCTAACTAGAAGCTTCACCCCTAGTGACTGGCATTCATGGTTCTAGAGGGTACTCTGCATGATTCAGGACTAAGGCAATCATCAATATCTTCCAGCTACAAGCTTTGCAAACCTCACCTGTGACCTACCTCCAATATATATGTTTCCGTGTAGTAGTGGCACAAATGTTATAGGTGTAACCAACTACTTTGTGATTAGGTTTAAGGCTCAGTCCTTGAGAAGGAACCCACTTCTGACACTGCTCAAATGGCCAAGAACCTTAGAACAGACAGGTCATGGGCATACTATTATTCTACTAAAGAAACATGACAAAAATGACTTCTAATGATACACAACTATACCCATAGATCAGTGCCTCACTCAACCCACATCAAGAGAAGTTTCTTCTTGTAGTGAGTGGGAAACTAATGCAGAAATAGACAATATGCAAAGAGTAAGAGACTTTAGATCACTCAGTTCTAAATAGAATTCTTAATTAAATCTCTCCCTTTAGTATTCAGGGGGAAATAAAGAAGATGAAGCAAAAATATCCTAAGAGCCAGAAAGGATAGACAGCACCAAGGAAACAGTTTCTTCCAGATGCCACAGGACCGATGCCCATATGAATTCACAGAGTCAGAGGGGATAGACGGCACCAAGGAAACAGTGTCTTCCAGATGCCATTGTTGATATGCCCATATATGAACTCACAGAGACTGTGGAATGCACAGAACCTGCACAGGTGCAAGCTAGATGGGGACCCAGTGCTGAGAGGGGGATGCAAACATGATCTCTCACCTCTAACCAAGAAGTTATCCATAACTGATACGTGCCAACAAAGGAAAAAATAGTTTTCTCCAATGAAGTCTTACTGGTTATATTAACTACACTTCAGCATAGGATCTATCTCCAGAAGTAATTGGCCAACACAAAGCAAACTCGATGATATTTTTGTATTTTTTTGTCTCATTTTGCTTTGTTTGAGCATTTTTTGACTTTTTCTTTTTTTGCTTGCTTATTTTTGCTTTCTGTTTGTATGTGTGTGTGTGTTTCTTGTTTTTTTTCCTCTTTATTTCTATATTTTAAAGAGAGAGAGAACATGAAATTGGGTCGGTAGGTAGGAGGTGGAGAGGAGAAAAAAGATGGTCAAAATACATTGTATAAAAAACATTTTCAATAAAAAAGCAATTTACTACATGATCTAGCAAGTTACTTCTGTCAACAGGCTCAAAAGAATTAAAATCCAGGACTCAAGGAGATAGACAGATAGTCTATGGCCACAGAGAGTCACACTAGCCAAAGGAAATAAGTCAAGTCTTCAGTGAATGAGTAGGTAGACACAATAAAGCAACAGAATACTGTCAAGCCAAAAAGAGAAGGAAATGAGCCAGTCACAGATGAACAAGTCCTATAAGACTCCACTTCCATGTCACAGACATGAAGGTAAAGCTGGTGGCCATGGGGAGGAAGGAGGAACAGGCAGCTATTTAATAGGCATAGGATTTGAGTCCTGTAGATGTTTAAAATGTTCTGGATATGGATAGGGTGATGTGTGTACAAACTGTGAGTATTTTTTATATTAATCTCCTGTAGTATGGATTAAAATATAAAAAACTTCTGGTATAATTGAAGCAAAACCAAAGTGTATTCTCTACCAATAGGTCAGATGAGTTTGTTGCTTTAGAAAGTCTAGACATTAAATTAATATATTATCTCTTATGTGACAGATAGCAGAATTTTATAACTATAGAATTTATAATTACAACTGTGTATTTTAGTGTACAGTATAGTGATGTGGGAGTGTCATATATCAATCTGTTGATTTCATTGGTTAAGCAATAAAGGAACTCCTTGGCCCTGATAGGTTAGAACATAGATGGGAGGAGGAAACAGAATAGAATTCTGGGTGGAAGAAGAAGTGAGGTCAGACTCTGCTCTGCTCCGGGAGAGACCGGACAGCTCTGCTCTCTGGAGCAGAGACACCAGGATGGACAGAGGCTAGACTCTTCCTGGTAAGCGCACCTTGGGGTGCTTACAAACAATCATTAGAAATGGGCTAGTCCAGGTGTGAGAATTAGCCTGTAAGGGCTAGAGTTCATGGGCCAAGCAGTTCTTAAATGAATACAGTTTGTGTGTTGTTATTTCGGGCATGAGCTAGCCAAGCGGCCAGTGTGTTGGGGACATAGCCCCACCGCTCTTATTTCAACAGTATAGCCATATCATATAGTGTTGGAATAGACAATATATACATTTCCAGGTAGTATGTTTATGTGCATACATATACTTATTATATAGCTCTTTTATGTCTAAACCAGAAATGATTGAAATTAAAAGGTGTTTATTTACTGATCAGGCCAAGTAGACGTATCAGAAAATAAAAAACAAACAAACAAAAGCAGCAACAAAAAAAAAACCCAAACCTTGTTCTCAGTGTATTCCTTCGCTGGCTTGGAAGAAGTTGAAAAGCTGCCTTCCCTGCTGATCTAACGGGCAGGAGGGAAAGGCGTAGGCTCTTACCCCGGAGTTTGAGTGCCGGCTGGCTCTTCCATGCTTTGGGCATCATTTCTCTTCTTGTCTTCAAGACAAATTGGCTGTTAATGAACTTGCAGATGCTAGAGATGCTGAAGGTGACTTGAGGGTGGATGATGGAGAAATACTCATCTATCCCAAACTTCTGGGTCAGGAGGCCAGGGACATACTTCTGAATATTCACTCCGGCTTGCTTGACCCTTAGCTATCCAGAGAGGACACACGTCAGTCTGGGGATCAGAAAGCAACTTCCACCACCGGCTTTCCCTGAGATATGACATTTGGGCTTTGCTTTGCGACTCACTGGGGAGAAGAAGGATCAGTGACGGAATAAACATAATAAAACTATCTTTTTTTTTAAAATGGTCAAACCTGCGGCTGATGTTGGAAGAGGAATGACATAGCATGGGGCTGCTCAGAAGCCTTGTCTGACTGCCAAGAGGCATTAAGGCTCTCAACAAGGTCAGTAGTTCCATCCTGTACTATCTCTCCCCATCCCCCACACAACCTCTGTCCCCAGTCCATCCTGGGACTAGGGCAAGGTTTCCTTTGCTTTCTCCAGAGAATGCACAGGAGGAGCACCAACTGGGGACCGTGACATCACCTGCCCAATACCAGCACAGTGTCTGGGAGCCTTTACTAACCACAGGAACTCAGGTAAGCTACAGAAATCACCTTCATGTATCATTCCGTTCCCGTTCTCCTATACCCAAAAGCTGAAAGGGAGGGGAGTATTTAGAGCAGACTGGATTGAAAGCAATGGCATGAATCATGATGTTGTAGCGTTGGGAAAACATGAGCATTCATTGGCTTATAATTCTGTTTTCCACCTATGGGTGTTTTCTTACTGCCATGATACCATCACGTCTCTGAGGGAAGAGACTACACCCAGGTGAGTATATGCATAGAGTTCATGCTGGGCAGGCAATTGACACGTGATGTGCATTTGAATTTCAACAAACACTAGAGGAAATCATATTGGCTGACCATTTCAACAGACATTTGGGACTAAATTCATTTAGCGTACATGCCCTTTAAATGAATAAAAAAAATCAACTCAGTTCACATGTCTGTATCATCTGTGTCTACAGCTGTTTTGGTTTTGAGGTGTTATCTTTCAATATGCAGCCCAGGCTGACCTTGCACTTAACTCTTGCCTCAGCCTCCTGAGTGCTGTGATTATAGACGCTTGCCATCATACCCAAGCTCCAGATGAAAGGTTATTTTATCCTGGGAAATTGAGAGCCACCAAATTTAAATGGCCATGCTCACAGCCCGACAAGAACACAACAGGGAGCACTACTAAGAATGAGCACCATAGGAGGGGGATTAAGAATCAGTTGTGCTCATGGGGGTGGGGAGTCATGTTTAGGATCGTGGCTGTAGGGTGTGATGCTTATTTCTGGAGTGAATTTTAAGGTCTTCCTCCAGCCTTCCTTTCTGATCATAAACTTTCCCATTTATTCGTTGATTCCACTTTCTTGTTCTATTGACCCGAGGAAGATCATACATTTCTAAAGCTTCTAGAACATGACATGAAGTCAATGGCCCCTTCCGGGGCAAAGTTTAGTCTCTTAAGCCCCGTGAACTCGGGAATCTAAGTCCTTACCAGCCATCACGACAGTGAATTGAGCTCCCCATCCCGGGTTTAGCCCCAAACCCAAGCTTCTGAAAGAAAGGAGCTCTTACTGCTTCGTCAAAAACAAGGTGGAAAGGAAAAACACTGCAGAACACCGCCTCTTCAACCCACAGTCTCTCGGGATAGACAGGCTGGAAGGTGTCCCCGAGGGGCCCTAGACACGCAGAGAGAAAAAGCCCTGGTGAGAGGCCCTTGCGGAGCCACTTGGACAGGGTTAGAATCTTAAGTGTGTCCCGAGAACAGTGTGATTCCCACTCCTTTGCACAGGCTCCCTCAGCATCTCCAGATGGCCACGGCAATTATTCCTCCAAATTAAAACAAACAGAAAATTTGCGACCAGGTTGAGAAGCCCTCCTGCCCCCTGCCAAGTTTCTGCCCACTGCTGAAGAGTTAGTTTCTGGGCCAATTGAGTATGTCTCGCCATAAACACAGAACTGGCATTGAAATGGTGACAAGCGGACAATGAGCCAGGAGAGGAGTGAGTATGTGCCCGGCCCAGCATCGGGGACATTTGCCATGGAGCTTTTTCAGACTGACAGTTTAGGGTGGCACGTGAAAATTTAACCAACAGTCCTATTTGGCAGGGGATGCAGATTCTCAATGGAGCCTTTTTGATATGAAAATCTCCCAGACAAAGGATGCCAACTGTGTTTGCCACAGCTTGAAGGACTCAGAATGCAGCTCTTTGAGCCCCGCAGACCCTCCCCCAGATGCCTGTCATTTGACCTACCGGGCCATGACAAGGAGCATCTAGCTCCCTTCTTCTGCTGGGTCAGAGCTCTGATTGCGACTTGAGTGTCAGGTGCCGGGGGACAGACTCGCGCGGCTCCCAAAGACCCAATGTGTCGAGCTTACCACCTTCACCTTGTGAATGGAAAGCTAGACAGCACTGTCCCATGTCACAGCTCCTCAGAGACAGAGACAGGCACGGGCTTTCTTGGTTCTTGCCCTCTGTCCTTCGAACTGCTGGCTGGCTGTGGCTAGCTACAGATTTCCAGTCCAGAAACACACCCCAGTTAAGAAGGCCTGGGTCCAGAAGAGAGGCAGAATTCACTGTGCCCAGGATGTCTGTGCCCAGCTTCCTCTTCACAGGCACCTCCTGGGACTGAGCCCATACTAGTGGCTTTCCTATTCCAGAGATGATGGTGTCTCTATGTGAACCAGCACAAACAAAAGAGCTGTTGTATGGCAAGTTAGAAGCTGATTTTAAAAGTTAAAAAACACAGATACTAAATCCAAGCTCCGAGGGAATCGGAGGCCTTGAAATAATAGAGCGTTTGCCCTCTTTGGTAAGGGGGCTCTCCTGCAAATGTGGCGGTTCTGATCTAAGAGCTGGGCCCAGGAGAACAGCACACTTACCATTTCCAGACATGACTGGTGCCCTCACATCCCAGTGAGATTTCTCCCCAGGGCAAACAGCGCTGTTCAAAACTTTCTCCTTCTTCCTAAGGAGCCTTGTCTTGAGAGCCTGAAGGGGGCAGGAGGGAAGCTCAGGCACCAGGTCGCAGGGCATGAGCAAGCCTTGTCTGTTGCTGCTGGGCCCATCTTTGGGTACTGAAGAATGTTGGTGGCTGGAGGGACAGTGTGAGGACTCGCAAGATCAGTTCCGTCAAGAGCCTGAGGCTCCAAGGTGTACTTGCTGGTGACCCCTCAAGTCATTTCTCTATCAGAGGAAGCCAGATTTTTTTTTTTTTTTTTGTTAAACAAGGTCTGTGGGGGATGCTTAGAGGGTCGTGGTTTTCTAAGTATCACTCCGAGACTCTGTCCCAGGGTGAAATACAAACTTTGGCAGAAGCAGGTAGGGAAGGATGCTCACCACAGACCCCTTTTACAAGAACAAAAGGTTCGTAGCGACTGAATAGTTGCTATCTGTGATAAGTAGTTATCTAGGCGGCTAGATAACTATAAGTTCCCAGGGGAAGATGTCCACACACAAGATGAGCAGCAGTAAATGACTCTCCCTAGGCAATGGACACGTGGGTCTTGGTGGACAGTGAGCTGATCCCACACCACACAGAACCCTCCTCTGGGTTGGGGAGTCACTCTCAGCTTGGGCCAAGGGAGTGTGCAGAGGGTTTGTGAGCTCTTTTTTTTTTTTTTTTTTTAGATTTATTTATTTATTTATTTTGTATACAACATGCTGCCTCCATGTATGCCCACATGCCAGAGGAGGGCGCCAGATCTCATTACAGATGGTTGTGAGCCACCTTGTGGTTGCTGGGAATTGAACTCAGGACCTCTGGAAGAGCAGGTGGTGCTCTTAACCGCTGAGCCAATTCTCCAGTCCCATGTGAACTCTTTACTGGTTCAGACTGTTGATACTTTTAAAACTGACTGGGCCCAATAACGATCATCTCAGCATCCATCCAGTTCCCACCATAAGACCTACGAGGCAGGCAGTGTGACAGTACTCCTCTCGTAGACCCTTCCCCCATTGCCCAGGCTCTTTCTTCTGTTTCCCTAATAAATCAGTGTTCATTCTGATTACCCCTTATCCCCATTTCCTTCTTCTTGGATGTGAGACAACAAACTCAGAAGCTACTGGCTCATCAGTGGCTGTCATTTGTCTGACACCCTAGAACCTGAGGCAAGCTCACCAAGAATGGAGACAGTCCCCATTACTTTCAAAAAAACCTATAGCACTCTTCCTGATGTTGGGGAATATTATTTTAAGGTGTGTTGCTTTTGTTTATGCTGCATTTGTTTAACTCTGAGAAGCTGTGATTCTTTGCCTGTCCAGAACACCTGACGTTCCTAATAAAGAGATGAATGGCCAATAGCGAGGCAGGAGCAAGGATAGGCGGGGCTGGCAGGCAGAGAGGATAAATAGGAGAAACGAGGATGAGGAGGATCATGAGAACAAGGAAAGGAAGATGTCAGGGATCAGCCACTCGGCTACACAGCAAGCCATGGAGAAAGACGTAGAAAAAGGTATACAGAAATAGGGAAAGATAAAAAGCCCAGAAGCAAAAGATAGTCGGCATAACTTCAGTCAAGAAAAACTGGAAAGAAACAAGCCAAAGTAAGGCCGGGCATTCGTAACTAAGAATAGCCTCTGTGAGTGATTTATTTAAGAGCTGGGTGCAGGCCTCGCCCCCTACCTGCCCCACCAAAAGCCAAAAGAATAAAAGAATAAAACATCACACAGCACCTGGGGTTGAAAACTCTTCTGTGAGTGGACCCTGAGCTTTGCATGTTCTAAGACGTAACCCCCAGGCTCCAGGAATCATAGTCCTATCTGTGTGTTTGAATAGACTACGTGGATACGGAGAGATCTTAACACATGTGGCATCTAAACTGGCAATGCTCACCTTCCGTGCCGCAGCTGAGGTGGTCAAGGATGGCTCTTGACTGCACAATGGACCTGGAACTGGTTCCACCTGCTGATAGGTACTGAGGACCTGATGGGTCTGCTCATTGCAAGCAGATTGCAGAAGAAGATACCAAATTCCAACTCCAGATCCTTTACCTTGGTTTGTCATTGAGGCTTTAAGAGAAGGTTCTTGTTCTTCATCCCAGACTGGCCTCAAACTCATAGCAATCCTCCTGTCTCAGCATCCCATTATAGGTATGAGCTATACCTATACCCAGCTTTGACATTCTTATATGTGAACATTTGACAGGCTAAGGTTCATCCTAGAAAGTCTGTATTAAGTTACCCTTGACTTTGCAGTTCTCAGCTAGAAGTGAGTTTTACCCCCACCTCTGGTCTACGGACATTGGCAATGCCTTGGAAGCAATTTTGGTTGCCACAACAAAGGGACAGGGTTCTATTCACGCTGAATAGATAGATAGATGTCTGTGAGGGGGCGGAGGATCCTACAAAGCACAGGCCATCACAACCCAGAATAATCTGGTCCATGGTGTCAATCAAGTCAAGCTTAGGAAAGCTTGTCTTGAATTCCACTGCCCAAGGCCCACTCATTTGTGTTGTTGGCACAGACTGTTCCAGGACAAGCAGCCCATCCTGGGGAAACTATGCTCTCTGAAGATCAGTACCTCTTGCTCTGTATCGATGTCCTCACCGTCCTGTGACCTGTTTGTCTTTGCCATTCTCATCTGTCTGGAAGCCTTTTGCACAACCAGAAACACGACATGTTCCTTTTTCCCTGTCCTCTCCAGCTCTTCATTCATGTCAAGGATACTCATGGCCACGTCAGTGTCAAAAAAGTCCTTGGCCACAGCTTCAATGATGCCTGCGGAAAAATGACACCTGTGGGTGAGGGATGGCAGAAGGCAACACACTGCCAGGCACCACTAACTTTTCCAGTTGTGCAACTCTGTGGGTTTTCTTTATTTCACTATGTCCGTGCCTCGCCTCAAGATAGACATCCTATAATGGCTCAGAAGGAAGTATATAAAGGGATTTAAGTTTTGAAAGTCTGAATACTAATTATGTTCCTGTCATTTAAGTTTCTGCTTCAACATCTATTCATGCTTTTACTCCAGAAAGGCACCTAACCCACTAGACAAACTCTGTAAAGGGAAGCAAAATTCCAGTGGGAATGAGTTAAAGCTCATGTGTTCAGAACTGTTGTTCTGGGGATCCATCTAGGGGTGAAATATAAGATATGAAGAAAGCATCACAGTACCTACATTAGCAAGGGATGAGCAGCAACTCCACATGCAGTGATAGGAGAATTAAGGGGAGCAGGGTTTCAGGGCAGGAGATGTATCTCCATAGAGGAACATGTGTACTTAGAATGCAGGAGGCATTGGGTTCAAAGTACAGACTAAATACCAAGAGTTTTCTACAATGCTGAATTCTTTTAAAGAGTCAATAGATACAACAATCTCCACAGAATTATCACAGCTATGCACACAACAGCAGTGTGTTAAAGATCATGTCTTCTGGTGTTCTGGAATTACTGTAAAAGTCTCCAGATCCTTAAGATCACGGCAAAGAAGCCGGTCACTCTAGGAGAGGGTGTGCCCTCCTCACAGGGGGTGTATGGCCACCCTAGAGGGTGCTGGAATGGGCTGATCCGTTTCCTACCTGGTACAATGTGGCACAGGCCATTTCTGTCCGAGTAGTAATGGAGAAGCATTGCCCCGTCAACTCCTCCCTCTACGCGAAAGGATGGAGCATTCATTTCCTTGTGAACAGACACAGCACATTTTCCCAACAGGAAAAACACGTTGTTTATATTATGATTTTTATAGGCCCATAGTATATTTATATTTTTCTAGGTTAATATACAAAATAATGAGTTTAACCACAGCGTCTTTATATATCATGTTTTACTCTTATTCTGCTCACTCCCAGACTGGCCCTACACCTCTTCCAGCAGGCTCCCCTTTCGTCTTCACTTTATACCCTTGCGCTTAATTCTCACATGTATCCCATCACCTCTCCTTCCCACCTCTCTTAAGATCTCTCGTTCCTCTCATGATCCCCTTTCTGTTCTGTAATGCTAACACAATACACATTAACATATATGCATTAACATACACGTATATGTATATTTGCACACACATAATTTAAAAAATACTTGAGTTACTTATTTTTACTTGACATGTATGAGTGTTTTGCTGTGTGTGTATGTGTACCACGTGTGTGCTTGGTGCCTGTGGAGGCCAGAGAGGGTCTTGGATCCTGTGGAACTGGTGTTGCAGATGGCTGTGAGCTGTCATGTAAGTGCAGGGAAACGAGCCCAGGTCCTCTGAAGAACAGTAAGCTTCTTTAATCACTATGACATCACTTTAACCCCTCCTTGTAAATTTTATTTTTGAGACAAGGTCTCTCTATGTAATCATAACTAGTCTAGAATTCACTATATAGACCAGGCTGACCTCAAACTAACAGAAATCCACCCCCTCCTTTTCTCGAATGCTGAGATTAAAGGAGCACACCACCACACATACATGACTTTAAATCCAGGACTGCCTGTGGGAGAAAACACATAGTATTTGTCTTTCTGAGTCTGGCTTCTTTCACTTAACATAATCACTTCCGGTTGCATCCATTTTCCTGAAAATGTCATGATTTTATTTTTCTATATAGCTGCAAAAAAAACTCAGTTGTGTACGCATATATTTCCTTTGTCCATTGATGGGCATCTAGGCTGGTTCCATGTCTTGACTGTTTGTGTAGTTCAGCAGTAAACATGGATGTGTAAGTATCTCTCTAGCTGACTTAGAGCCCTTGGGTATATACCCAAGAATGGTATAGCTGTCTCAGAAGCCATGATTCTGTGAAGCAATAGTATGCAGCCATTAGCACACACAGAACTACAATAGTGTGTACCCTTTACTATACACACAAAAGTACAACAGTATTTATAATAGATAAGTAATAATAAGCACACGCAGATTGACAATAATATGCATACATTACCACCCATAGAACTACGTCCCCATCATCTCTCCACTCACATAACACCACCACTTCAGCCCCTGTTGAGGAAGCTTACCCCGAGTCTCTCTCCCTAAAGTATTGCATTTGGCACTCGGGCCTCACCCAGGGAACTTACAAAGGAGATTAATGAGAGAACCATTGCTAAGCCTCCATGATCCCTGGCACCACGTCATGCTGCTCCTGTATACCCCCAAGGGTTATCTGTCATGGTGCTTGGCCTGTGACCAAGCCACGAGAGCATTTTCACTTGGGAAGATGAGCCGTTCAGAGACCTCAACAACTGGAAATAATCAACTCGTTTTTGTTCCAAAGGCTGGTTCCACTTGAAAACTAGAACCTCCAAGAACGTACAGAAAGAAACATTATTTGTCCAGAAATAACTGTAGACCCTTCAGCAGGGCCCTCTTATGATAGGCTAGGAAAAGGTCACTGGGAGGTTCTCTGAAGGAGTGAACAGGGGTGTCTTCTCTGAAGGAGTGGACGGGGAGGGGGTCCCCTACTGTTTGTGCAGCCATAGTTCAGCGCCCAAGACACTGGACTTTGGTCTAAACTAGGGGAGAAGACTAGTGTCCTTCACGGTGCAGGGGTGCTTGAGAAAATGGGTTTCTTCCTGAATTTCATATACTTATTTTATATTTCTAAAAGTTTATTAGTGTTGGTAGATTATCAGTTTCCTCCTGTATTGAAATAGTCTGTCCTTCAAAGAAGCTTTTTAAGCCATCAGGTAAACAACTCAAAACAGCTTCAGGAAGTTCCTGAAATTGACCAGACTCACTAGGTTTCTTCCTCCCAGAGTAAGCAGTCATGCTACAGAGAAGACCCTGAGACCCAACCAGCTTCCTGGAAGATATTTAGAATAACTCAGTCACTTGGCAGGGGCATGATCCAACTCTTGAGCTTGCTGCTGTCTGTGTCATGTGCTCCAGATTCCCAGCTCTTGTGAACAGTCACCGGAGCTGGGGTGAGCTAATGCAGCTGTCTGTGAGACATTTCAGCTCCTGTAAGTAACCCCTCAACCATATTCCAGTAAGTAATCCCAATAAAACTCGTTGGTTCTTCAAATTGGACTTGGGTTGTTTCCATGTTCTGGTTTGTCATGGACTCCCAATCTAAATGTCTTGCATCTCCCCAGGAAAGGTCTTGTCACCCAACAGCAGAGTATGTATGAATATGTGTTTATATCTCTATTTGAGTGTTATGTGTGGTGTATGTGTGTATGTGCACATGTGGGGTTAGGAAGATAGGGTCTAACTATTCGCACCTGCTGGGTGTACTTTGGTGAAGAAATTTGACTGCAGCTGCCGTGTAAGTTCTTATGATGTTGGAACTGTCTATGCTGACCAGAGTGAAGGAAGCACAAAGAGAAGCAACTGTTAACAAAATGCCTTCCTTGGGTCTACTCCGATATTATACACCTTTGTATTGCCTCTTTCAATCCACACATCACCATGAGGTGGGTCATTTGGTTTCTTTTTTTTTTTTTTTTCTGTGTCAAATGCCTTTTTAAAAAGTGCTTCATACACAGTAGGCATGCAGTAACTATTTAGGAGCTGTCAGAATGACTCAATGGGGAAAAAAAAAAACTCTTACTGTGAAAGTGTGAGGGCCTAAGTTTAAAACCCAAAAATCCACTTAAAGGCAGGTTTGGTCATCCCACATAATCCCAGGATCCCTACAGCAAAATAGAGAGGACAGGACAGGATAATATCCAGGTCCAACTAGCCTGACCTACACAACCGCAAACCATGAGAGCCCTGCGTCAAACAAGAGGTAAAGACGGAACTGACACCTAAGGTTATCTGAGCTCCACATGCCCATGACCCAATACATACACACACTACACAAACACACACACACCACATACACACTAACACACACTGCACATATCACATACACACCGTACACGCACACACACATACCACGTACACACACACATGCACATACCCACACACACCACATACACACACACTGCACATACCACATACACAGCACATACATGCGCGAGCATACACACACACACACACACACACACACACACACACACACGCTTTCCTTTTGCCTTGATCTGGAAGATGGGAAAAGTATGTTCCCCTTTACCATCCCAACAGTGAAGGGGCCATCCGAGCAAGCACCATCCCATCATATCCTCATGACCACCCTCCCAGAGTGCTTATGAACACAAGATATAGAAATAATGAAGAAAGTTCTTGGTCAGTTATAAAGGGGCATAAAAATAAACTGTGTTAATCAACCAGGTGGAGCTCATAGGCGCTCAGAGAGAATGAAGCAGCTATCATGGACCCTGTGTGGGGCTGAGCTAGGTCCTCAGCATACGGGTTATGACTGTGTAGCTTGGTGTTCTTGTGGGCCTCCTGACAGTGGGAGTGGGGCTGTCTATGACTCTGGGCTGCTCCCAGGACCCTTTTCCTCATACTTGGTTGCCTTGTCCAGCCTTGATATGAGAAGTTGTGCCCGTTTTATTGTAACTTGTTATGCCATGTTCAGTGGATATCCTTGGGAGGCCTGCTCTTTTCTGAAGGGAAATGGAGGAGTGGACCTGGGGGAGAAAGGAGGTGAGAGAGAGAACTGGGAGGAACAGAGGGAAAGGAAACTGGTCGGAATGTAATGTTATGAGAAAAGAATAAATAAAATAAACTGTTTTATATAGGCTAATAAACTATTATTTATGCTATGAATGAACACTACATCTTTACAATAAAGCATCTTGATGAAAATCTAAACATTTGAGTTTTCAATAAACTCTCCCAGGAACACCAGCAAGGCATGGACTCCAGGAGGACATATCCCATTTGAGAATGTCGTTTCCTAACACCTTAGTCCGTCACCCCAAGGGGTTAATCAGGGTTGGATGGCTCCCAGTTCTGGTTCCTGGCCCTGCCAAGCTTTTCCCTCCTATACTTGCACAGGCCTAATCTGGTTGCCCAAGCTATTATCAGCTCTACCCAGGCCAAGAGACCTGAAGAGAGATTGGAAAATCCACCCCAACCTGTTTTCCAGCCCTTGTTCCCACTGTGCTTGACTTCTCAGATTCATTCCAAGTCTGGGTCCAACCTTCAGAAGTCACCCCCTCCCACAACCACCACAAGGCTAGAACTCTGACTTCTTGCCAACCATTTATAAAGGAAGCCACTGGGTAGTCATCCTCCTTTCTATCCTCTAAGAGAGCTACTGGGCCCACTGATGCCAGAGGCCACGGATTGTATAGCTCCTCAACTGGCAACACTTTCTCTCTCTCTTTCTTTCTTTCTTTCTTTCTTTCTTTCTTTCTTTCTTTCTTTCTTTCTTTTCTTTCTTTCTTTCTCTTTCTTCCTTTCTCTCTCTCTCTCTCTCTCTCTCTCTCTCTCTCTCTCTCTCTTTTTTCTTTCTCTCTCTCTCTCTCTCTCTCTCTCTCTCTCTCTCTCTCTCTCTCTCTCTCTCTCTCTCTCTGCCTCTCAGAACCACCAAGTCAAAGCCCAGATGGCCTTACCTGATAAGACAGTGCCAGGTAACTGTGAAGGGCATCTAGGTTTTCAATAAACTCCGTGAGATTTCCTCCCAGGGTCCGCAGCATCCTGTCATAGCCAGACACCTTACAGAACTTGAAGAAGTGTTCTCCAAAGAGCTTCAGAATGGCTTCCATGGATACATCTGTGGAATACATACCCCAGTAAGGTCCTGAGGTGGGGTTATCCCTTCAGTAGTCTTTATCCAGATCCAGAGTGCTCAAATCCTGCCGCTGGGAGACTCATGTCTAATCCTTCACCTTCCTCATCAGTGACGTGTCTAGAATCACCTTAAGGCATCATAAAGAGCCAGGAGCAGCCCTGGTTCACTATGAGTCCCTCCCAAGCTCCCTCACTCTCTTCTGTGACAGCTAAGAAAGATATTTCCCAGGGTGTTCAAGCAAGATCTGTGGAGCTAGTGTTCTCCCTTGAGCACTGATCTTGTGCCCAGATCTAGGTTAACTTAGGGCAGGGTAGAGCACAGCCCCCCCCATCTCGCCCACCACCTTGTGCACCTTCAAACAACAGCCTGCTGCATAACTGAAGGCTGACTCCAAGCTGACAAACACGGAATGCAAAACGAATTTGCCCAAAATGAGAGCAAATACCTGTGACCTCGACTCCTCTCTCTCTCTCTCTCTCTCTCAGCTTCCCCAGGTCTCTGTCTCCCTTCAGGGTAGTTCTCAGATGAAATTCTCCATAACAAATTCCCTGCCAGTCTCACGGCCACCCCAACTATGCTCTCCCGGCATATTGCACTTCCGGCTTCCTAACGAAGGGCAGCCAAACAAGGTGAAGGTTGCTCTCACTGTCATCGTGGACACAGGGTGTAGACCTCACTGTTGTGCCAGCCTGGAGCATCCTGAGACCATTCTCTTACATAGGGTTGAGTTCTGACTTGTGGAAGTCCCTGGGACTCCCATCAGAGTCACAGCTCCTGACGGCATCCTAAGAGGCCGCTTCTCCTGATGGAGCTGACATCACAGTGAGAACCTCACCGCCCTCAGAGCACTTCAGTGCAGAACACTCCAGAGTGGCAGGCATGCAAAGTGGTCCTTACTTCCCAGGCCCTGCTCATTGAAGATCGTCTGGACAGTGAGGCCTTATGGTACAAGCTTGTGCATAGCTATAAGATACTCAGGAGGCTGAGGCAGGAGGATCATAAACTTTTGGCATATCTGGGCTACAGAGTCAATTCAACGCTAGCCTGGACAACCTTGGGAGACCCTGTCTCAAAGTGGAAAATAAAAAGAAGGATGGAGATATAGCTCAGTGGTAGGGGGTCTCTTAACACACATGAGCCCATAGACTCAATTCTTAGCAATATGTGCATGTGTGAGTGAACACACACACACACACACACACACACCACAACAGGTTCCTTACAGCTCTGTTTATAGCCAGACTCTGGGAAGATAATTCTTATGGAATCTGAGCTTACACAAATAAATCAAACATAGTTTGCCAAAACTACTAGTCAGTTCTTCTGAGTCTAGACAATGGTCCAGATAGGAGGGTGGGAGAAAGCCATGGCCTGTGTAAATTGTCTCTTTTGTCCCTCCTAGCTGACAACAGGCTAGTCTATGCCAGAATTCAGGAGCCACTGCTTAGTCCTAAGTGAACTGACGTAGGTTCTATTTAGGTCTTTCCTCACCCGAGAAACTTGCAGACAGGTTTGCAACTGCCGCTTTTTCGCTCTCCCCTACCCCTCCCTGCTGCGTGAATCCAGCCCATTCAGGCTAAGTCGAAACAGCTGTGCTGTGCAGCCACAGCCTGAGCCCTGTGCAGGTGCATCCTGTTACCTGCCAGGAAACCTGCAGGGCTCCCTTCTCCCGGGGGAACCGCCTGTCTGACTTGACTTACAGCTGAAAACCTGGGGGAGGAGGAACCCACAGTTTTGGCTGTTTCAGCCCCTGTTGCTTTGTCTCTGGGTGCCCAGCACTGTCAACAGAAAAGTCCCCCCATCCGCAGTTAACTTCCTTAGACCGCAACGTGGGCTTAGGTGGGGAGCTGCCATCTGTGCTGGCCTTGAGCCGCTCCTGGGACTCTTCGTGCAGAACGCCTTCCTGAGAGGGGACAAAGGCTCCTTTTCAACTCAGCAGCTGTCTTACTTTTTAATTCAGTTCCACCTCTGTGAATTTAGGATTCCGAGAGCCCTCCGATTCCCAGGAGACCAGGGCCATATGGAAAAAGGAGGGAAAGGGAAGAGAGCCCAAAACCCAAGTCGGCTTTAAAATGTTATTTGGTAGTGGGAAGAATGATTTCTAGTACGTGAACTTTTGCATCTTTTGTCCAGAAGAGGGAACTGAAAAGGGAAGCATCTCTCTGTTTATCTGCACAAAAACGCCAGCAGTATAAACCAGGGACTTTTGAGACTGGGCTCCTAAGGGATGTTGGTGGGAATGGGGTGGGGAGAGAAGTCATGAAGGGTAGGGGATGAGCACTTCCTGAAGCAGACCTCCGTGCACAGCTTCAGCATTATGATTCATGTTCCTGACTCACGTGCTTAGGCTAAGTAAGTAAGACAAGGATAGAGACAGAAAACCAAACCAAATCAACACTCGGGAAATAATCTTAGCCATTCAGGGGACTGAGGCAGGAGAATCACCAGTTCAGGTTTCAACTGGACTGCACAGCTAGTTCAAAGCCACCCTAGGCCACTTAGCAAGACCTTGTCACAAAATAAAACATAAAGACAGGACTGGGTACATGACTCAGTAATAAAGCACTTGCCTAACAAGTGAGATGAACACACACACGCACACACACAAGATGGAGGGGGGAGAGGTGTGGACATACATAAAGAAAGAAATAACGAAGTCATCAGAATAATAATTTCAACAGAAAAATTTGGATAGTATAATTACTCAGGAAAAAAATTTCACCTATCTGGGCTGAGAGATGGTTCAGTGGTTAAGAGCATGTACTGAACCTGAGTTCAGTTTCACATGTCACATGGCTCAGAACCAGCTTTAAGGGATCTGATGGCTCTTCTGGCCTCTTAGGCACCAGCACTCACATGCAAATCCAAACACAGGCATGAATATGATTTTTAATATCATTTTTAATCCTTAAAATCCAATAACATTTAAGCATAACCTTTCGACTTCTTTGTTCCAAAGTTGAAGACAGAACTCTGAGCAACTGTCTGGCTGTAATCCGAAGGCCTTGCTATCACATCAATGTGTCAACAATTTTGAACGTACTTTCTAAACATTAAAGAACTGCACACATAAGCAAAGGCATTGACAATAAATAAAGCCAGGTTTCTCACAATCTAAGAATGTAGCATGAATAATAAAAATCCAAAGACAGATATTGGGGTACAACCTAAAGATCAGAAAAGCAAAGCAGCCAGTCACTAAAGAGACCTTTAAACCTCTACCAAATCTTCAGACCGAAAGGGTGAGATCCTGTCTTTACAAATCCTCAGACTCCACACTTCACTGACTTCCTGTCTTTCCCCTTTATATTCCTCTCTCTGCCCAGCCATATCACTCCTGTCTCTACCTCCCTAGTGCTGGGATTAAAGGTGTGGGATCCCAAGTGCTGGGATCACCTTTGTGTGAGATCTGTTTCTCTTTTAGACAGATTCAATCTGTGGCTTTGAACTCACAGAGATCCCCCTGCCTCTGTCTCCTGAGTCCTGGGATTAAAGGTGTGTGCCTCTACTCCCTGGCCTGTATGGCTGACTAGTATGGCTGCTTTGTCGTCTGATCTTCAGGCAAGCCTTATTTATTAAAACACAAATAATATACCACTATGTAAGAAGAAGGCTACAAACTATAGAAAATGGAAAAAAAGAATGTGTGGTTGGATGAGACAAATCTGCCATAGCAATGGGCTGCAGAGGCTCTGTAAGTAAACATGAGACCCAAGCTCTGATGCCAGCATCCATGTGAAAAACAGGGTTTGGTCCTATGTGCAGGCCTAGCACTGTGGATGACAGAGACAGGAGTCACTGGGGCTTACTGGCCACCAGTCTAGCTGCAGGTTCACTGGGCAATACTGTCTTAAAAAGAAGAAAGCACAGGATAGGCAAGACAGCCCAGTGGGCAAAAGTGCTTGTCAACAACCCGATCATCTGAGTTTGGTCAGGACTCCACGGTGGAAGAAAAATACAGACTCCCCAGAATTGTCCTCTGACCCCTACATACAAGCCATGGCAGATTCACACACACAATATAAATAAATTATTGGAAAATGTTAAGAATACACACAAAAAGACAGAATGATAAAGCAGGACACTCTCACATACAATGCACACACATACATCACACTCATACAGACACAAAGAAATGACATAAGACCATGAAACCCAGTGTAAGATATAGAAAACTAGATGGTTGAGGTTAGATGATGGCTGAATAGAGAAATAGAGGCTGGCTGGCTGGCTGGCTGGGTAGGTAGGTAGGTAGGTAGGTAGGTAGGTAGATGGATGGATGAATAGACAGACAGACATACAGACAGACAGTTGGTAAACAGTGTGTACGTGTCTGCCCACTGAAGAGGCCTAACAGAGGTCAGTCTTGGTAAGAGCACTGAGCTCTCCTAGTGTCCAGATCATGGATTTTTAAAGATGGTATCCTCTACTAAACAGAACCAGAGCTTCTTTGAGAAACAGAACATTCCCGGGCTAGAACAAGGAAAGGAAAGAACAAACTGAACTTGTCATGCAAGAAAATAAAGAGATATGAAAGAATGGTAGAGATATCAATGTATCGGGGCAGGGTTGTCTCCATTAGTCAGGTCTTGAATTTGAACATCAACAAAAATAATAAAAGCAGTGTGACCTGTTTTCACAAATGAGACTCAAGATCACATTGGTATAAACAGACAAGCAGGGACGGGAGACATCTTTCCTCATGGCAGACTAAATAATAAATGGGAGAGGGATAATACACACAGAGACTCTCAAGTACTCATCCACAGAGGTCACAGGGGACAGTGTCCCTGAGAACTAAGATCATACAAGAGGGAGTTTGAGAAGTAACCAGACACCTGCATCATCCAAGAGCAGCTTCTCATGAGGTTCTAATTACAGAGAAGTCGGCAGCTTCAGAGCAGAGAAACCTGGCAGATGCCAGCTTCACCAAGTGATCCAAGTTCACACTGCCCACAGCAAGGACACGGAACACCTGCTGC